TTTTTTTTTTTTTTTTTTTTTTTTTTTTTTTTAGGTAAACAAATCACCGACATAATGACGGTGATTCCGGACACCGAATCAACAGTTACTGCTGTTGAAGAAAATGAGGAAAGCAAAAGAGCTGAAGTGTTGAAGGAGTTACGGTATCGGCTTAAACCGGTGTTCGAAAAATATCCAGCCTACGATTCTGACTGTGCACTTCTTCGATGGTTACAGGCTCGGCACTATGACATTGGTATAGAACTAATACTATTTATAAAAAAAGAAAAAAAAAACTTTACTATTATAAATATTCATTTTTACACATCAGTTTTTCTCTTTTATTATCTGTTTTAAACACTGCTTAAAGACTGGACTTGAGAACAATATTAGCAAATATTCTTTCTGCTGACAATTTCTAACTTCTACTTTTTTTTTTTCTTAACTAAAAGTCAACCAGAAGAAGCAAAGAAAAACTCGGGTTTTTAGCCATATAAAATTTTGTACAAAAATTATTAAACATTTACCAAGTTTTAAGTGAAAATTTTTGAGATAAAAGCATACTACTCTTTCTAATTGTCAAAAATTTGTATATTGTTAATTTTTTAAACAGTCTAGCTCATTTTTCTTTTTCTTATAACTTTATCGCCACCATCTGTACCTACCTGTAGCGAGTTTTCTATTCTTATTATCAAGTAGTTGTTAATATAAATTTGTTGAAGTTTTATTAATATAGTATGACATTCAAAATTAAATTATTGAATACAAATCTGCACAGATTGGTAGTGTTCTTCGCAAAATTTCTGTATTTGTAAATTTACTGAGGTCTGAATGGTATAACGCAAAGTTTTCGCCTTGAAATACTGAATACAGATTTGCTGAAGCAGTTTCAAAAATATAGCACAAAAGTTCAGGTAGAGACATCTGAATATAGAACTTTTGCAGAATGAGGCGATAGTAAAAATAACCAGTTAATGCTGATTGCAAAATATATAGTGCTGATGTTAACCTTTGATTACAACCGTAAACTATAAAACTTGAAAGCTTTTGGTCAAAAGGTAAGCGCTTGACCAGATGAAGTGAACAATTTCAGACAGTTTCAGCATATACAAAATTACATTCAATGAAAGAACAAAATCAACCTAATGATAAAAACCACTGACAAAAAGTATCACTTCATTCAAACCACAAGTTTTGATCAAGTTGTACTAAACTTTGAAATTTGAACTTGATCTTTCTCTAAGAATTTTCTTCTGTGACGCCTGTCTCTCTCCAATCTTTTGCTAAATTTTACCAATTAACTAAATGCATGCCATCTGTTTTTGATCTTATACGTAATGCAAATTAAAAAAAATATTCTGATAAGACATTAAGAATTTTTGTGAGAACAAAAAATATGCATATTTTTAGCATATTTTTCTGCTATTTGTTGGCCTATTGAAAGTTCAGATTTTTATGTCTGTCCTAAAAAAAAAAAAAAAAAGAAGCAGAAGAAATATACACATTGTTCAATTTCTAATTTATCTTTGATAAGAGAACAAGTTAGCAATGTTTAGAAAACCATAAATCAGTAAAACATTTATATTTTTTTCTGAAATATTTTTGCCGGAATTTATATATATTTAAGATAATAAATACAAAAATTTGCAACTAATTGTTCTAGGTTTAAACAACAACGAGCAGAAGAAACAAAAAGTGAAGTCTAAAATGATATTGTTTCACTGTAATTAAACTTGAACACTGGTAATATTATCAAAGATTTTTTTTTTTTTGTAAATAAAAAGATTTCTTTAAAATATATCATTTGGTCATTTTTTAATAAAATTTTTTTGCAGCACTGTTCTGTGTTGATGATTCAGATAGATTTTACTTATAGCCAAACTGTTAGATTCATTTCAGTTCTTTTTTTGCTTCGCTTTTCTTTTTTTTCTTCCAGACAGGCATAGACGTTTGTCGACGGTGGAATGACAAACTGTGATTGTTAAAGAGAATTTGTTAAAAATCTTGTAAATAGGGCTGATTCGCTGAAAATGTCCCTTTTTTTTTGTTTTTTTTTTAGAATACAGAACTGGAAGAACGTTTATCGTTCAGTGTTTTACTGTGTTGGAACAAAGTTTCCAAGTTCCTCATTATGAAGACAAATGCTTGTCTGGTGTGCATGCAAAATTATGGCACAACAAAGACTCATTTTTGGAATTATAGCTGTTATCACTAACAGTTTTGCAGTTTACAAAAAAATGAAAAGGTCTGTCTACTAAAAAATTGAAAAGTTTGACCTGTTATCCACTTGTCAAACAACATTAATTGTCATAGTTTTTATGAGTACAATCGTGAGATTTGCAATCAAAATTTACGATAGCTATCTGAGTAGAAGAAAAGTTACTAAAAATAAGTCATTTTTTAAATAAAATAAAAATTTTATGTCTGTTAAGGTTTAGAGTAGCAAAAAAAAAAGCAAGGTACTTTTCTTACAGATACTGTAAATTATCACGTGACTCAACACAGTAGAATATTATACATCTTGATAATGCTTGTCATTCAACTGTTTCTTTGATCAAACTCGTGTTGATCCAAAACTGTAAAACTCTTAAAATCTACTGTTTTCTTTCCTTGAGATTGCCTTATCGTATTGAGTCGTTAAAATAAGTTTCATCTTCCAAAACGTTTTTATTTCCAGACAAAGCCTACTAAAAAAAAAACTTTAGGATTCAAAGCAACTTCTTAGAGCATATGTAGTATCGTTCTAAAGTTTCATTATTTTGTATCGTATTTACTTAGGTTTATTCTGTCACAATTTATGCTTAAGTGAAATCGTGAACAAGTAAATATTGCTTCAATAATTCTTGTCTTGTTTCTAACCATTGCTTTACAACAGAATATTAAATATAGAGACAGTAAGGTTTATCAGTGCTAAGAAACAGCAACTTTTGAAGCTCATTTATCGGTGTATGCTTGAACTAGTTTTACAGTAAATTACGCACATTATCTAAATAATTGACTAATCGCAAAAATTAAAATTTAGATTGATAAAAGAATATTAGAGTCATAATAAAAAAACAGCAAGAAGAAATAAGAAAAAAAAGTTGCTCAAGACTAAAAAAAATCAGTCGAAATAATCAGAAAATAATCAAAATTTACTCTCAAAACTTTTCGTCTTGTTTTAGATTAATAAACTGGTCTTTATGCTATTGACTGATGCTTATTTGACCTGTTTGAATCTTTGTTCAGAAGGTTTATTAATACTTATGTGACTTAGAGAAGTTTAAGATTTGTTTATTACCTTTTAACTAATAAAACTTGACCTTTAATAACAAACTGCTTATTGCTCTACCAGCTAGTATGTACTTTAAACAGTATTTGGAGAGCCAGATATGCAAAGCTTAAACTATTTAGATTTAGTAGAATCTAGTGTTAAGTGGGCTCTTCATGCGATGAATATCTTTGGCGTTTTTGACAGAAATTTTGTAACCATTCAAGACGTGTACGATATTGTCAAAGAGATAACGCCAGTTGCTGACTATATACCCGGTAAATTCTTGTGCATTATTAGCTGGATAATCTTGGTCTAACACTGTTTCACTTTGGATATATAAGGTTTTTGCAAACCTTGCACACTGTTTGTTCAGGAGGAGCTATTGGATTAGATAAACACGGAAATGTTATTGTTTTACACCCAATCGGGGACTTACGGCCCAGGAAAATTTTGGAACGTGTAAAAGTTTCTGAACTCATCAAAGCAGCTGCTTATGAATGTGAAGGTGTTCAATTTGTTCTTAGGTATGCCTATCAAGTGTGAAGAAGTCATCATTAGACGAAACAGTTGCAAGACATCCAGTCGCTTTTATACTACAACACACATAAATAGCATTTACTTTTTTCAACTTCTTACCACTTGTTCACCCTTCACCGGGTTTGCTTAAGTCTAATCACACGATATAATGAAGAAGTGTATTTATATTAGCAATTTCCTTATCGTTTTTATTTTTAGAGCCGAAGAACGGCGGCGGGGTAAAAGACTTGGCGTTGTACTGATTAACGATTTGCAAGGTTTATCTTTAGAACTGGTGACCTCCGTTAAAGCTATTAAAATTTACTTTTTAGTAATACAAGCAGTACAGGTAAACACCAACACAGTTTCTTTAGCACTGCAATCCAAACTAACAAAATTTTGGTGAAATCTTTTTTAGAGTGTCATGTGTCAGTTATTTGTGTCAGAGCAGTATGTGCTTTTTAAAGACTTCTCAGTTAGCAAATTTTTAAAATAGTAACTGTAGAAATCCTTCACTAAATCACTGATTATTTCAGTGTAGTCTTTTTTAACTTTTAACGAGCGTATTGACTTGCAGAAAATGTTTGCTGATTCAGCAGTCAAAATTTACGTAGTTAACGCACCATTTGCAATCCTCGCACTGTGGAGTATGATGGAAAGAATTGTCGCTAAGGTTGCTGTTTGGATTAAACAAAATTATTCTTTTTTCTGCCGACATTATCACAGAATTCCCCTTTAAAATTGGTCTTTCTTACTTATGCTTTCTTTGTCTTAAATTCGTTTCTAATTAGCAATCATTTTTTATTAGGATACTGTAAAAAAGATTGAAGTACTTGGTAGTAATTTCAAAAATATACTAGTCGAAAACCACGGCGCTGAAAGTTTACCAACATTTTATGGCGGCACCATGGAGTTCACATACAAGAGAAGTGGTGGCGAGGTTGATCCTCTTCTCATGTAAGAATATAAAACCTTTAAAATAATTTTTCTTCCTTTTCTCCGTCTAAAACAAAAGCAAGAAAGCCGCTATAGCATTTATCGCTTACAGTTGGATTAAAAGCAACTGGTTGCAGAGAGCAAAGTGAAGCCTCAATAAGAGATGCAAAAAATAGATTTGCAACAGACTTAAAGACTATAAGTGTATGTGCCAGACAGGAAGAACGAGTAGCAGTTGATATAGAAATACCCGGTTCCAAATTGTCATGGTACTTTGAGAGCTCAAACGACATTGAATTTGGCGTCGAACACGAGGGAGTGGAGGTATACATTAACGAATACCGTTAATTGTTAAAAAAACTTTTCTAGTTTATGATATTGAAACACTGATAGTGAAAACTGTTCATTGGAATACTGGCAGTAGCAGTTTGAATGTCTTCCAGGTTTGGCCGAAATTTAAAATTTCAACGGAGTATGTACCAGAATACAACGAAATTGTATGCAAACAGAGTGGGCGTTATGAACTTGTATTTAGCAATAAGGACGGTTTAATATGGAGTAAAAAGGTTCAGTACAGTTACTTGGTTGATGTTCCACCATCGTGAGGAGTCGCAGTTGAAATTGATGGAGCAACTTTTTCCTCCTAGTTGAATTTAAATTTTGAGCACTTTATATTGTTTTAATTCACTGTTTATGAATACGTTTAATTTTGAAACTCTCAATAACTTTCCAAAAATTTATTGCGATTTTGTATTAGTGGCTTAACTGAAATGTTGAAGGTGAGAGAGTTTGCTTAAAAATACTTCGCGTTTAAACTGAAAAAGTGCTCTAAAACTAGGTTGATACCGAGAAGGTTTTGCGTTGCAGTTTGAAATCCGTCTTGCTTGGAAAGACTAAAAAAGTTGTTTTTGCCCACTTAACTGTTTCTGTAAACCTGCTGTAGATGTTATTTATATTTGTATTGGTTTCCCAATGCCGCATCAAGAAACCGTCAATTTTCAAACGCTTTTATTTTATCTTGCTGTCTTGAGAAGTTACCTCTGTTTGGTGTTCATTGATGTATTGTATCAGTACTTTATTTAAAAGACTATTTTCTAAGTTTCAGTCGTATAAGGGAAATGACATCAATTTTATAAAGGTCATTGCTTTTTTTAGCTTTTGCTTTCTGTGTTGTAAAATCATAGTTGAACGATGCAAACAGCTTTAGCCTTTGTTGA